AGAGAGAGAGAGAGAGAGAGAGAGAGAGAGAGAGAGAGAGAGAGAGAGAGACAGACAGACACAGACAGACAGAGAGACTGATTAAGAGAGACAACCCATGTCCATACCCCTATACCATACACACAGAGTGTAAAGACTCTCAGAATGTATCTGTCAAAATCAGCAATCACGCTGGGACCCAATGACATAACGTTCTAGTGGCTTTTGCTAATCCCCTCATTCAAAGCTACACCTTATGTATACTTGGTCGCTTTTAAGCACATAGGGGCCTTACCGAAAAATGCTGTTTTGAGAAAATCGAAGGTAAAGTTTATGCCCCTTGTTCAGTTTCTTTAAAAGACAAGGAGAGTTTTCTCTATAACCAAACAAATATACGCACCAATGAAACCAAACTTGTCCTCTAGGTAGGGCAATGCCCACTTTTGGTGGGTAGGTCAAGATTTCTGGAAATCCATGAAATCTGGGTTAGCCCACTTGTCCTTAAAAGAGACTATATTATATACTAGATGGAGTGTATCTTCCTCTATCTCAGTCTGAGGGGAAGTGGATAGCAGCTTAAGTATCAAGGATCGTAACTCGAGGTTTTGGCAAAAATTACTTTTTAAAAATTTTTAATTATTTTTGTTACCAGGCGTTGGCAAAAGGCTCTGTTAAAACCGCAACGTCCCGTGATTATTAAAATTTTTGAGTGAAAATGCGCACTCCAAATTTTAAACACCACGTATTTTTTATGGATATAGTGGTGCAAAATCTGGGGATGGGGTTTGTTTGATTTTGTTGCTGTTGTTTTGTTGTTGTTGTTGTTGTTGTTGTTGTACTTGTTTTTGCTCCTTCTATAATATTTGAGGATAAAAACCTGAATTACGTTAGACGTATTGCTACCCCGCGCAGTATAGGCTACAGTGTCAAGATGAACTGGGCGTTTCTCTTTTTATTGAAATTAAATGCAATGGTATGGGTTTAACGCCCCTATAAAAAATATTTGATTATTTAAGAGGCGGGACCTCCAAGTTTTACGTCCATCTCCAAAAGGTCCGAGCCAAATGGGAAATTCGTGTAAAGGGCCTTTCCCAAGGACACAACGTCGGACCAAGCTGAGGCCCGAACCCCCGAACCCCAGAACCCACAATCTCACGATTTCGAGTCAGGTTCTTTCGATTGACTTTCCTTTGTACACTTTTTGTGCGATGTAGACAGAAGAACGATCAGGTGTAGATAGGGCGCGTGTTGACAAAGGAGAAAGGACGTTAACCCTATCCGTCGGACGCCTTGGGGTCATTTGGTACCCCCGGGATTGTATTCTTCACATTTTAGAATGCTTCTAGTACGAAGATCTCTTTGAAACTTTCAGTATTTCTCAGAAAATCAGTTTGACAGACTGCTATGCAAAGCGTATGGGTCGGATTAACGAGCAAATTTCCTCTTTTTTGAATATGGTGGAACAGAGTTCCCCTCGTCGTATGGATACGATAGTTTTTGGAAATGTCAGCCTTCGAAAAACAAAACCAGCATTTAAAAAAAACTCACATGGATGTGAAACGTTTCTTGCTAAACAAAAAATTTAACGTTTTGATATTTGAAAACCCACAACTTTGAAACAAAATTTTTGAAGACGTATTAATTATCTGCTTTTTTCAAAGGGACCTTAAAAAAGGACGGAAGCAGAAAATGGGTTAATAAAGTATTATGTGTGTGGTTGGTGGGGGCTCTGGACTGGATTACTCCTTCTTTCCAGTAGCAAACATCTATCGTTCTTTTCTCTCTCTCATCCTTTTGTGTGTGTGTTTTATACCCTCTTGTAACACATCTAGTCTTCAGCATTTACACGATCTACCTTTTGTTGCAAGTGCTGTAAAACTCGTACTAAAACAAAGCAGGTATGGACATGTAGTAGTTATATACTGGGCGCAGTAAGTTCCGACTAAATGTAATATTTATCAAAGTTCGGAGCTTTTGATGTCAGTTTCACTGGGGTGTTTTTCTGTGAGGTTTCAAGTCATTCTGTTGCTTCATTTATGTATATATATATATATATATAATATTATTATACATGTATATTATTATAATAGTTTGTGTGTGTGTGCGAGAGCGCAGGGGCGAACCCAGGTTCCGTAGATCTGTCCCACATAGACACTGTGTAGTCATGGTTTGTCCAGACAGGCAGGATCGAGCCCGCCTCCTAATTGGTTGCTTTTAAGGACAAGCGGGCTAACCCAGATTTCGGAGGAACAGCATTTTTATGGGGGGATAGCCCCCTTGTGCTTAAAAGTGACCAATTGACCTTAATCGTGTCGATATGGAAACATCTTCGTTTTAAAAAATCTTCTCTTTTTTGAAGGATGGGTGAAGCAGGCTCTGTAGAACTGTAACACAAGGACAGTGGAAGGTTGCGGTTGGTCCTGGCATGGCAGGGTCCAAGCCCGCCTCCTAAATGGTCGCTTTTAAGCACAAGAGGGCTATCCCGAAAAAAATGCTGTTTTGAGAAAATCGAAGGTAAAGTTTTTGGGCCTTTGTTCAGTTTCTTTAAAAGACAAAGAGAGTTTTCTCTATAACCAAACAAATACCAATGAAACCAAACTTCTCCTATAGGTATGACAATGCCGACTTTTGGTGTAGGTCACGATTTCTGGAAACCCCCGAAATCTGGGTTAGCCTTATTGTCGTAAAAAGCGACCAAATGATACAAAGCATGTCAATATGAGCGTAAAAACACATCTTTTTCCCCAGGTTGGGTGAAGCGGGCTCCGTAGAGCTGTCCTGCATGGATAGTGGGTGGTCGTGGATGGTGCTGGCAGACAGGGTCAAAGCCCGCCTCCTTAAAGATCCAAAGCATGTCAATACGGGCATAAAAACACCTTCATTTTAAAAAAAGCTTCTCTATTTTTCCCAGAATGGTCGAAGCAGGTTTTCCGCGGAGCTATCACACATGGACACTGTGTGGTAATGGCTTGTCAAGATAGGCAGGGTTGAGCCCGCCTCCTGATTAACCTTAATCGTATCGATGTGGAGGTAAAAACATCTTCATTAAAAAAAAAAAAAAACGTCTCTCCTTTCCCAGGATGGGTGAAGCAGGCTCCGTAGAGCTGTCCCGCATGGATAGTGGATGGTCGTGGATGGTGCTGGCCTTTGCCTGGCTCTCCTCCTACCTGTTTGCCTCGATAGGTGCTTCAGCTGGCATCTTACAGGTGAGTCCATTAGTGAGGAATTGTGTGTGTTGTTTGTGTGTGTCTGTCTGTCTGTCTGTTTGCCTCGATAGGTGCTTCAGCTGGCATCTTACAGGTGAGTCCATCAGTGAGGAATTGTGTGTGTTGTTTGTATGTGTCTGTCTGTTTTTTGTGTGTTTGTTTGTCTGTCTGTCTGTCTGTCTGTCTGTTTGCCAAGATAGGTGCTTCAGCCGGCATCTTACAGGGGAGTCCGTCAGTGAGGAAGGTGTATGTTGTTTGTCTCTCTGTCTGTTTGTTTGTTTGCTTGTTTGTTTGTCTGTCTGTCTGTCTGTTTGCCACGATAGGTGCTTCAGCCGGCATCTTACAGGGGAGTCCGTCAGTGAGGAAGGTGTATGTTGTTTGTCTCTCTGTCTGTTTGTTTGTTTGCTTGTTTGTTTGTCTGTCTGTCTGTCTGTTTGCCACGATAGGTGCTTCAGCCGGCATCTTACAGGGGAGTCCGTCAGTGAGGAAGTTGTGTGTGTTGTTTAAATCTTCCTGTTTGTCTGTCTGTCTGTCTGTCTGTCTGTTTGTTTGTTTGTTTGTCTGTCTGTCTGCCACGATAGGTGCCTCGGCCGGCATCTTAAAGGTGAGTCAGTCAGTGAGAAAGTTGTTTGTTTGTGTGTGTGTGTGTGTGTGTCTCTCTCTCTGTTTGTTTGTTTGTCTGTCTGTCTGTCTGTCTATCTGTCTGTCTGTCTGTCTGTCTATCTGTCTGTCTGTCTGTCTGTCTGTCTGTCTGTCTGTCTGTCTGTCTGTCTGGCAATGAGAAAGGTGTGTGTTGTTTGTGTCTCTCTGTCTGTTTGTTTGTCTGTCAGTTTGTTGGTTGGCTGGTTAGACTGCTTTAGATTGCAATATTATGGCGCGATCGTTGATACTTTTAAAGATACGCCCAGTGCGTCATGCTACAAAAATGTGGACATGGTCGAAAATTTGTTGTTTTTATGCGCCGTATATAGAGCAAAACTATTCTGTGAATTCATATAAAATCAATATTACCCAATATTTCTTTTGAATTCCAAATACTGTGTACAAATTAAATTTTCAAAGTTACGGTGAGGAAGGAAAATATAAAATCATTAAAAAGTTGTAAAGTTGGGGGGGGGGGGGGTTGTTGTTGTTTTGTTGAGGGATTTTTTGTGTAGTAGTTGTTTTGCTATTGTTGTTTTGGGGTTTCTTTTTTTCCGTTTGAGGTAAATTTCTTTTATACTTTTGTGTCTATAACAGTATTATGAAGGGCTGCGTGGCAGAACGTCTTTTATATGTGTGCAATACAACATAACTGCTATAAGAAAAGAAAAAGAAACAACTTATTCTCCGAAAACAAAAGTGTGAAGAGCAATTTCGTCATACAAAATGAGAATGAATGTACAGACCAGCGATCACTTTTTTTTTGGTAAGTTTTTTTTTACGGTGCTCACAACTGCATAAGGCCATATTGAGCGCACGGGACACACCAAACATTTTTAATTGGTTGGAAATTTTGAATTTTGCCCGGGTGGTGGCCGAAGCCTACTCGTATCGATATTGAACCACCCAGGGATCTTTTTTTAACAGCTTGCACACGGGACCTCCGAGATTTTTCGCCCTTGTCAGAGAAAGCTAGGTGTAGATCTTTCCTACCATAAGATCAGGAATGTGGTTGAAAGACAGCAGTAAGAAGGAGCCAAGATGTAGCAGTAGAAAGTGTATCTGTGTACTACATAACTGCAAAATGAAAAAAAAAACTTATTCTTTGAAAACAAAAGTGTGAAAAGCAATTTCGTCAGACTAAAGGAGAAACTGTAAAGGCCAGTAAGAACTGAGCAGGACGGTCCAAGTATACTATAATGATAGATGCGGACTTCAAGTGTGATGCGATCGAGAAGAGGAAGAAAATCGTACCAAATATAGAGGGATTCAGCGCATTTTGAGAAATATCTGGATGTCTGGATACCTGGAGGTGTCATCTCTGACTCAGAAGTTGACGTGTAATGGCCTTCCATCCTTCACGGTCGCGAGCTGCCGTTGCACAATCTGCCATTCCCAGGCCAGTTCATGTCCTTTTGTTGTACATCCATGTTTCTCTTTGCCTTCCTCTGGCTCCCCATATCTTTCGTCTTTCACAATGGTCTCGTGGCTTTTTAAGTTGCCATAGTATTTTATTGTATTTTTTTCTACATTTTATTTTGTTCAGCAGGGTTTGTCTTGTGTGTAGAATCTGATGCACCTCTTTGTTTTCCAACTTTAATCTGGCCATTCTACCGTAGCACCACATCTCAAACGCTTTTATTTTGTTTTTCCTTTCTTTTTGAAAGTCCAGGTCTCGGCGCCATATAGGAATATCTTGATAACGACTCCGAATAATCTTACGATTTTGATAGAGCTGATAGAACATTTGGTTTCTGATCACATGGTCTTAGTAAGTCAAAATGGCCAAAAATATCAGATAGAACTTTGTAAAAAAACCCGGGTCGGTGCTACTGACTGAAGTGTCTTTAGGCCATTCCCAAAGGAGGGACATGGACATCTCGAGTTCTTATGCACAGTAGAATTGAAGTTGTAAATGAGCTGATTCATCATTGTCGTGCTCATATAACTGTGCCTGAACTACAACAGGGAACTGCTACTTTTTCTTTCCCAATCCTTATTATCGTCATTTCCTCTCTACTTCTTTTGTATGTTTGCCACACTCTTGTGATCCGCTATCTCCGGAAGCTGTTGAAGCTAGAGAGGTGAGCAGAGTAAGTCTGATTCCCTGTAAGGACTTCTCAGTTGACATCCACCTTGGCGCTCATTTGACCTTATGCAGTTGCGAGCGCCGTAAAACCTCTACTAAAACAACGAACTTTGTGATTTTAAGGTAGGGAAATGATGAGCTCCATGGAGTACCAGAATAATGCCAGGAGTGGCCAGACGTAGATAATATTATAATACAATAAGTGTTTGATATAAACTAATGTTATAATTCTTGTTCTCTCTGTCTGTCTGTCTCTGTCTCTGTCTCTGTCTCTGTCTCTGTCTCTGTCTCTGTCTCTGTCTCTGTCTCT